AAGAGTGGTTTGTTCTACCGTGATCTGCTAGAACTTCAATACGCCGTGTTCGTCCATGGTAAAACAAAAAACTTTTTTTTTCTAAAAGAACAGAAGTTTCGACTACCCGAGCCTCCGCTCATCTTCCAGGGCCGATCAGGCTAAAAACTGCTGATTCTCGGTGCATCTCTAATTTGGGCACAGATGTGCACGCTCGGCACACTTTTTGTTTTAATGCGGCGAAATCTTGTGCTGAAACATTTGTGTCCCTTTCAGCCCAAGCTGACACCCCAGGAGCGTCTGAAGCTACGGATGCAGAAGGCGCTCAACAAGCAGTGTGAGTGCCACTTTCTTTTCAGATCAAAATCATTCAAATCTCAAACAGTTCCCCCCCCCCCTAAATTTACCTTCAATATTTTTTTCTCTTCTTTTTTCTTCCTTATCTGCAGCCAAGGCGGATAAGAAAGCTGCTCAAGTGAAGATCCAGCAGCAGGAGCACAAGCGGCAGGTCGGTGTGTGCAGATTAACGCAGAGAAAGAGGCCTCCTTATCCTTCATTTCCCATCATCGCTCTTTGTTTACTTTACAGGAGCGAGAAGGAGAGCTGCGAGCCATGGCACGCAAGATTCGTATGAAGTAAGGCTGCGTATGTGTCAAGGTGGACTGATCGGTGTCTGTGTGTCGCAACCGTCTGACCCAAAGGCTGTGTGTGTTCAGGGAACGTGAGCGACGTGAGAAGGAGAGGGACGAATGGGAGCGACAGTACGGACGACAGAGCCACTCGCCTTCGCCCTCCAAACACGGTGAGACAAGAGGGTCCATCGTCTCACGTCCCCCGCTCAGCACAGATATTTCATCTGCCTCTGATTACCTGCTGTCAGTTTTATTGGCGCTAAGACGCTGCGCCACGCATTTGTTTTCACTGTGGTTTTTGTTTCCTCTGTCCCTCAGGCCGAGAACACAGCTCACACAAAAGGTATGTAAGGCACTGGAATCTTCACAGATCCAGTGAAGCCGAATTAAACACTCTCCACCTCCTCCATGTCGATGCGGAAACATTCCCAACGGCCAATCACAAAACCCGTAGGGTTATTATTTACCACAGTTGTTTGGATGACTCAGGAGAAAAACATCAAAACTCTTTAAAGAAAACAAACTCCGTCTTGTAAAGTTTATCGTTGTGGACACGACAATCTGCACTTTAATTGGAGATTGTTTTGTTTTACTTGAACTCTCTTTTCTGTCCTAATGAGCTGTACTTTATACTGGTAACATATCACAGTATAAATGCCTCACATAGCGCTAGTTATCGATTAGTTTGTTGTTTCAAATATCTGAAATGCAGCCAGATTAGTGGCGTGACCTTTCCTCTTTAATGCAGTTTCTCTGCGCCACACAATGTTGTTGTTTTCTTTTTTTAATTATCATTAGTTTGAACCAGTTTTGAGGCAACAGAGACGAAACAGGAAGCTGCCGGGCAAGTTTCTCAACAGGTTGTTGCCCCCAGTCCAGCTTACCTGGGCGGCTGCCTACATCCCCCAGAATGCCAAGCGTTTCTGGATCAGAGCTTAGTGACATTTTTGATCATTGTGTCAGATGTATCTTCTGTTGATATTGATCACTTGTACATCACAATATGTATTATTGATTTATCCAACCCTATGATTGGATATGTATTTTTAAATAAAAACATAAATACACACATCCAAACATCAATAGCCAGAGATTTAAACAATTACGGACTCAAAAATGTCTCACAATATAATACTTTTTGGCTACAAATCTGTCACTACCTCTACATGTTTGTTTACATGGGATAAAAGGGAAATAAACTCCTAGATACAACATTCAGAAGTAATCAAACATTTAACTATAGCATTCATTTGAAAGGACAACAACTGTTGTTTCTGAAACACCCCTTATTTTCTCAATGCACAATAATTAACTGTGTGACCTAATCATTGATTGAAGGATAGATTATTGAAAGTTTTAGCAGTGTGTAGTTCAGTTAGTGAGGTGATTGGTCTGGGTGGAAGCCGTGGTTCTTATTTAGGGAGCAAGCATCAAACGCAGTAACTTTTGGTTCCGGACTGATTAGAAGATCAGCGTTGGATCGACTGGAGATGAGAAAACGTTTAGATAATCTGCAAAATGCTCGGCTAAAATGATGTCACATGGTTCAAAACGGGAACCAAAACCAGAAAGAAGTGGAACCAAACTGTAAACTGTTATTCTAGTTGGAGCTGCACGATGTGTTTTAGTATTTTGCGTACGATGCTCTGAGATTGACCATACCCAAAGCATATTGTATGTCTGATAAGATACTGTTTAATCATAGAGGAAGAAAAGTCAGAGCAACAAATATTGCAATTTTCAGCAACACCATCAGAATTAAAATGTTCCAAATATTTCTTAATTGGATGAATATTTGGAACAAATTTGATGATTTTTAATTTGTTTTAATATTTGGTTTAGAAGTTCTGTGCTGAAAGTAAAAGGCACACATTGCTATTATTTTAAACACAATGCCCTAATTTACACAGCCAACACATCATAGCGCGAATAAACTAGATTTTAATGTGAGAAAACGGTTGAAGTTCTGTTGACAATGATGTCTTAACTTTATAAAGGAAAACATCTGGAACATTTTTGTCTTCGCTCAAACTTTATTGTGTAGAGGAGACAGGAAAACAACATGCCCGATGTTGTGTTTCAATTCGTTTCCCTTTGGTCTGAAGCTGCTTGTCGTTACTGTAAAACATACGTACTTCCATCTGTGTGTCTTTTGGTGCTGGCCTTTGCACTAATTGTTTTTTCTCCCTGAAGATCTCGCTCCCAGTCTCGCTCCCGCTCCCGCTCTCGCTCTCGCTCTCGGAGTCCGTCGTACAGATACTGAGCTGGACAGAGGGACGACGAGGCCCGTCCTGCACATCAGGATCGTTTCCGTTGACACAAACGACTCATCTGAAACCTCTCACGAGGAAAACACGAAGTTAGCGAATCCGCAGCTCGTCTCGCACCATCTCGTATGAAACGCTGACTGAGATTCTTTAATCCCACCGAATTGGAGATGATTTAATCCGCCGTTTAGTTGTGCTTCATTTTGTGAAGACCGGAGAACGCCTGCATGTCAAAGCTTTTGCTTTCTCGTCTTCCTGGTCCGTTCTTTGGGAGATGTGGTTTTCCAAAGTACGACACACTGAGCAAGACTTGATGTTTTTGGAGGGTCTTCTAGTCTTCAAATCTTTATCCACGGTTATGTTTCTGTGAAAACAAAGAACTGAAACTAAATATTGAAACTTTAAATAGACTTTCACAAATGTGATTTCCAAAAAAATATCAAATGAAAACCACTCCGCAGAAGCAGAATTAACTTTGTAAATTTGCTCTTTTTGTACTCGGGTTCTCAGCTGGCTAAAACCACCAAACAATTTTTCCTCTGTAAAAGTGAATGTGAAAATAAGACAAATAAAGCTCAATTTAAAAGTATTTAGGTCTCGTCTTTAATTTGTTGCGTATGCAGGAAAATTGCGCTTTCCCCTTTATTTCTTTATATTTCCCTCTGATGGTTGCAGCAGCCTGACAAATGTAGAAATTGATGGCTGCATCGAAATTAATTTGCTCATCTTGCTCTCGTCATCTCGATTTCTGGAAAACAAAAAAAGTTGCCAAAGAAAGCGCCTATTTACAAAGTGCTGCGTTTAAGTATTTCAAAGGAAGGTTTAGTGGATGGAAAAAGTGACAGAAAAAGGTACACAGAATCTTTTTCTTGAGACGATTGCCAAAGAAAAGACCATTCAAGAGCTTGGAGGAGATTCACATGGTTGGAGTCAGAGCCTGAAGCGCCGCCTCCCACAGTCGCATCCATGGCAACTGTCACATTCCTGGTACTGAGCCATTCCTGACCTGAAGACTTCAGAAGAGTCTTACCTGGGCTAAGGGTCAGGTAAGACACCAAAGCGGTTCTACGGCTCGGTGGTTCAAAGTCCTCTGTCAGGATGAGGGTAGAATTCCCATTTCATTTGGAAACTAAGGTCCAGAGTGAAGTTTCCACAGTCAGAGATGATTTGAAAGTTACCCGCTGGCGTCGGTCCGCTGTGCTTCAGAAATGCTTCCATCTGCTCCTGATCTTCATGAAGATGCTCATTTTATTTTCCATTAGAAACCAGAACCAACGTTGCAGAGGAAGCTGCAGGCTGATGGGCTCCGTGGCACGCTGCATTGATGCTGCAGTTCATGCAAAAGGAGCCTCGGCATTAAGTATTGACCGCATATAAGGTTCAAAATATCGACTTGTCAGTCTGTCAAAATAAGTCTTTTTTGTTGTTGTTTTATATGGAATTTTCTGAGAAACTCGATTCTTTGTTGTCATTAATTTTAAGTTAATGAAAATGACCAAAAATCAAAAAAAGTATTTCACTCCGCACCAAATTCATTTCTATCATTATTTAAATAAATAAAATTCTTGCTGAAGAATCAAACTTTTCGGTTATCTAATTTATCCAGGTGAGATTTACTTTTCGCCAGTAGGTGGCGACAAACCTCATTTCGCCCTTTCATCTGTTTTTCTTTTGACCGTTCCGTAACTATAGTCATATTAATAATCTTCAACGCGTTTCTCCGTTCTGAAGGCTGAACAGGGAGCTACCTCTGGCCAAAGAGGAAAAAAAGCAGAAGTGAATTGCGAGCTGGTTCCGGGTTGGTTGTTCAGAGACACCTGTGGAAAGCCAGTGAGGTTAGTTCCTCTCAGCTGCTGAGGAGGAAGCAGATGGTGATAGTGATCACATCGCTCTCACTATCAGCATTTAAAGAAAAAAAAAATCAGTTAAATCTCAGGAAACACCACAAATACTGCTCTGAAAGTATCAAAACAATTTAAGGTGATATAACAATTTACTGGCGCGAGAGTGAGAGTTTTACAGGAGGAGGGCGGGGTCAGGGTCTGCCGGGCCGGGCCGGGGCGGGGCGGTGCTTTCGGTCGCCCATGCCCCCTCCTGCCCTCTCGGCTCGCTGCGGGGGGAAGAAGCGTGAACTTGAACGCTGCTGCTGCCTGCTGCTCTCCACCCGCTCAGCGCCAGTCCAGGCAGAGGCCAGCCAGCGAGTCCGGTCTCGTCTCATCAGCTCGGCGGAGCGTCGGTCAGTTTATCGGAGCCGGAGCAGCTGGACGGACGGGCGGGGAGGGGGGTTCTGCTTTTCAGGACCCAGAAAGGTGCCCGACGAGTCGACGCGATGTCCAGGCGCAAACTTGGGAGCCGACCGCAGCACCTGAGCGCCATTCAAGGTAAGCCAGGAGGGAGCACGCCGGAGTGGGGCTTTTCTCTCTTTCTTTCTGTCTTTGAAATACATCTTCGAAAAAACTAATTAATAGCTATCCACCTCGTGTTTTGTTGCTGTTCAAACTTACGCGCTTATTTGTGTCCAATTACTAATAAGCGATATTGAAAGGATAATTGATTCGCCGGGCCGTTTCCAAACATCCTGGAAGCGCTTTAGGTGTTTAATTTGTGATTGTTTGGAGCGTTGGAGTTTAAAGGGACGTGTGTGTGTGTGGGTGCGTGTGTGTGGGTGTGTGTGTGTGTTTGAAGAAGCGCTCGTTTTTAAGGTCCGCGTCGTTTGTCTTGCTGAGTGTCGGTGCCGCCGCAGCAGGAGGACGGACCGGTTTATGGGCTCTGCTGGGAGGTTACAGGTCCGAACAGTTTTCAGAAAGGCTCGTCTCCTTGAATAATAATAATAATAATAATAATAATGACGATATATAAAAAAACGGACACACACACCGGCTTCTCAAAGCGAGTCATCGTGACGTTTTTAATAATAATAAAAAAAAAATAGCCAACTGAAGAAAAAAACAACCAAAAGTGACTTTTTTCAAATTATTATTAGTTTTCTAAGCGCCGGGGGGAAATGAAGAAGGGGAGCTGAGAATAATTAGTTCTTTTTACAGTTCTCCACTGGAGACCAGTGGTGCGTGTCTGCTGTGACCACAGGCCCTGACTCAACCCTGTACGGGTGTGTGTGTGTGTGTGTGTGTGTGTGTGTGTGTGTGTGTGTGTGTGTGTGTGTGTGTGTGTGTGCGCGCGCGCGCGTGACTTCGCACGAGCCGCGCCTTGCAAGTCTGCACAAACAGCGCGGGCCCTGAAACAGGAAAGGTGACATTTTTGAGTAACAACTGCTGAGATCCGACTTCAGACTGTACTGTCTGTACCTGTCCTGTACGGACAGGCTGCCCGGCCTGGGCAGGTGGATTCAGGTGTGCCCATGACCGTGTTGAGCAACAGACTCCTGACCCCCCCCCCCCCCACCCCTCTCTCCTCCTCCTCCTCCTCCTCCTCCTCCTCTTCCTCCTCTCTCTCTGTCTACCTGAGCTGTGTGAGTTTACTCAAGCTCTTCAGGGGGTTTGGTTGAACCTTTGTCCACAAACTCTGCGCGGTTGTATTTAAAGCGGAGGACCACATTAGACTTGTCAACTTGTTACCCTCCTCCCCCAGTACTCAGTGTGAACGCAGACAAAAAAAAAAGAAAAAGACGTGGCTGCTCTCTTATCTCAGACACCTTCAGTCACTTTTTTTTCCTCTCTCTCTCTCTCTTTTATTGCAATCCACTTCCTGTTGAGAAACTCCCGCTGCATGTGGCTGGTAAGGCAACATTTTCTGTTGAGTGAAAGATGAACGCCTCGGTCGTGACCATCCACTTTCTTCTTTTCCTTCTTCTGCTGGTTCAGTCATTCCTCTACCAGAGGGCGAGTCATTTGTGCTCGGGTGGACCGTTGGGCTTTTTTGTGCTGCACCCAGCCGGAACGAGCACAGATCTGTAACTGGTTTTAAAGGAAGTGGTCAGCGTTGGCTGAGCAGATTGGCCTCGTTGAGCTTATAAGTGAAACTAGCACTTTCAATCAGCAGGCCTGTTTGTTTGTTCCATTGAGGTCAGGCTCTGCTCTGTCTGTAATTTGGAGGAGCGCAGCAAACGCAGCTGTGTGCAGGCGCTTACAAACCCAACTTCATTTGGAAGTTAATTGAGACGCCCGGCTTTGTAGTGGATGAGACTTCAAACGACGAAAGTGAAGTGTTTTATGTTTGCACGCTTCTAAGGGGAAAGAGTTACAGTCGACGGTCTTGAAAATGCACCGATCTCGACTTTTTGGGGCCAATTATCTTTGCCTCTGTCAGAGTCTCCACAGAGAGAGAAGTTCAAAACGTGTTTTATGTTACACGCTGTGTGTGGGTCGGCGCGTTTACAGGCCAAAAGTGATGGGGGGTTTGTGTTTTTTGATACGTTTTCTTTTGTGACCTGCAAATCAGAGCCAATCAGGAAACTCAGATGAGCTGGTTTTCATCAGCATGTTTCTGATGAAATTATAAAAGCGGGAGAACATCGTGTCAAAATGCAGATTATTGTCATTGTTTTGAGATTTGACAAACCAGAGTTGAAGGCTGACGTTCAGCATAGGAGTTTGTTTTCATTACATTCAAAAGTTTAAGCATCGTCAGTTAATGTTATGTCCTCTGCTTAAGAGAAGGATTCACATCCAAACGCAAACAGCGCACAGCTGCGAAGAGGAAGAAAAGTTACGCTTGGTATTCTTTCGTTTTTCATCGTGTGGGTTTCTTTAATCATTGAATCTCGGTATAAATCCAGCTGGTCTCCGAAAGCCTCAGAGGTTTGTTGGAGGAAACAGAGAGAGCCATATGGGGAGACTTCAAGCAGATTTAGGTTGTGGAACAAGATTCATAGTTCTGAAAATCTCACTGAACACCGTTCGACACATCAACTCAAAACCAAGACGTGGCCGTCGTCCACACATGCAGCCTGGAGGCTCTGGGTGACTCTGGAGGAGCTGCAGAGCTCCAGACATCTGGGAACACTGCCAGGAGGAAGAGTGGGTCCAGTCAAAGGACAGAAATCATGTGGAAGAAACCGCTCCGGGCAAATACGACAACATTTTGTGACCTGCATGCAAAGGCATGCGTGTCGGAGAAGAAGAAACCTCCCCTGGAGTGGAGTACGGTAGTGGCAGCACCATACTGTGGGGATATTTGTCCTATGGAGGGAAGCTGGTCAGAGCTGATGGGAATATGGATGGAGAGACTGCTTAAGACTGGAAATCTGATGTTTGAGTTTGAGTGGGTTTTTACTTTATTTTTTACAAAGTGAGCACAAATTTCATTCTTATGTGCAAAGCTGGTAAAGACATAACAGAGAGCACCTGCATATAAATACATGAAGCAATTTTCCTTTCACGTATCAATTGTTCAAGGCTGCCTTTGAGGTCTGAATACTTTTGCAGGCCTCTAGCGGTTCAAACTCAAATTCTTCTGCTCCTGATTTTTCTCCCCAGATGTCTGTGTTATAGAGGAAGCTGCCCACCCGCCAGGCGACCATCACCTTCCTCCTCCTCCTCTTCCACAGGCCCAAGCCTCAGAGGATGACCTCCTGACCTGTGGGCAGTGTGGCCAGGCCTTCCCCCTGGCCCACATCCTGGCCTTCATCCAGCACAAGCAGGGTGGCTGCGTCTCACGGAGCCCCGGCTCCGGGGCCACTCCCCGGTCGCCCGCCGGTCGAGCCGGACGCCAGCGGGCCGCCGGCGTCGAGCCGCAGCCCGGCTTCATCGAGCTCCGGAGAGGGGCTCACAGGGGCCGGTCCTGGGGGGACGAGTCCAGCCTGAGCGTGAAGGCGGACCTCAGCAAATCAGGTGAGGCCCCACAGCAAGGTGGCAGGTTGCTAACGACCGAGTCTGTTTTTTTTTTTGTTGTGTTTTTTTTCCAGTCATCCTTTTATTCAGTTAACAACTGCTCCTCCTCCTCCTCCCTCTCGAGCCCCGCTCATTAGCTAGCCGTTGCCATTAGCGCACCCGCGTGAGTTAGTGACACTCTGGCTAATTGCGTGGAAAGGATAGGCGTCAGGAACATTCAGAGGGCACCGAGGGTCCCCCAGGGCCCCGCGCCGAGCACCTGAGCTCCTTCCCATCTCCCTGGCTGTCGGCCTCTGAGCCGGAGCGGCCAGGTAAACATGTCTCTTCCTGCCCCTCATCCATGACGCTCCTCCTTGGCCAGCGGAGTGAGTCTAACGGCCCCGCTGGCCGCCATGACACCGTAATGGAGGACATTGCGTCAGCTCCTCAGCTGTCTCCCTCTGTTCAGCCCCAGGCTGAGCCACCTGAGCTCCTGGGAGCCTCCTCCTCCTCCTGCTTCTTCTTCCGCCTGTTTTCAAAAGAACGATCCCATCTTGTCTCTCTTCTTGTTCTGCCTCTGAACTGTGAAACTGTGAAACTGTGAAACGTCGGCCCCTGCTCTGGTTTTGTCCTCACTAAAGGCCGCTTTTCTACGCTTCTCCAGCGTCCTTTAGCGAAGACGAACTTGAGACTGGTGGGGTAGATCAGAAGTCCCTGAATCCTCGTTAAAATCCATCTGAAGAGTTTTGTGCGGTAATATGAAAACAAGGTACCCTTCACAAAAAGGCTTCCCTTATAGATTCATCTGTAAGCATTTTCAATATCATTAATAACTGTTTATTATTAGTAAACAGTTAGTAAGGGTGAGAAGGAGACTTTGCTAAAAAAAAATGTTTATGCTTATTGTTCTTCAAATGCAGTCTGAAATGTTTAGTATAATAACTCTAGATAAAATATTTAGATGAACAGATTTGGCAAAAAGATGCTAGATTTTGTTTACTTCTCTCTTAATTAATGCATAATAAACAGTAATGAATGATTTATAGAGAGATAAATTAATAACAATCCATGAACTACTTATTAGCTTTATGGTAAAGTGGCACCAATAAAGGTATAAGAGTTGATGGATTTTCTTGCATAGGTCAGAGGTATCAGGTTGCGAAATCAACGTTTGCATCTCGGTACCAGCTCCTATTTTTTTTTCTTTTTCTTTTTTTTTTTTTTTTTTAGAAAAGCTCGCCACACGTTGGCAGTTCCTTCCTTTGTGTCAACGCTCAAGAGGACGCGTGCACGCATGCAGCGTTTCCGTTTGTCCACACGTTCGCCTCGCTGCGAGTGCGTTTGCAGCAATGTGTTGCCCAGCAGGACAACGGCGAGGGAGCGGAGGGCGGTCAGGGAAAAAAAAAAAAAAACGGAGAAAGAGCATGTCAGGTTGTGCATAATGCAGGAGATAAGTTTGGATTAAATTTTTATCCATGTTGGTTCAGAGTTTGACATTTTATGTCCGTACCCGGAGCTACGGCGCCGGCTGTGCGGAGTGACCTCGTTGGAGAGGTTTGACTCCTGCGACGACTGCAAGTGGAAGAGCAAAGAGAGCCGACAAACGGCAGCTCTCTGTTCATTCAGAGCCTGATGGAGGAGAAAACGGGGGGATGGATTACTGAGCAGCCGCGTGCATCTGTCTCATTCCCTTTTATTTATTCTCCTTGTTTGTTTTTTTTTTCTTTTTGCGCTTTCCCATTTCTTCCCCCGCATCTTCAGCACACTTTCGCTTTGCCCTCTTTCAATCCCCCCTCCTTCTCCTCCTCTTCTTCATCTCTCTCTCTCTCTCTCTCTCTCTCTCTCTCTCTTTCTCTTTTTTCCTCTTTCCGCCGCCTCCCCAGGGAGAAGAGATTCTGCCTGCTGCTCGTTAGTGCTCCCAGCCAATCTGCATTTTTAATTAGTAGTTATTGCTTCTGCTTAATATTCAAGTGCTACCCTGGGCCAAATGGGAATCCTTACAAAAAGAGGAGGAGTGAGCGGAGGAAAGCGAAACCGGCCGGGTATTGTGTTTCTCTCCAGGACCCCAAGACAAAAGCCCCCCCCTACCCCACCACCACCCCCTCCTCTTCCTCACCCTCACCCTTAGGGAAAGATTTGGTGGGTCTTTTCGGGGGAGTCGAGGTTGGAGGATGGGTCTAGAGTACAATTCGAAGGGGTGACACATTTTCCTGGTGTCTTTTGCCCCCCTCCGCGCTACATTACAATCTTTTTTATCTCATTCTCTCTTTATCTCCCGAGCCCTGACCTACCTATCTCTCTGTTTATCTTCCCTCCTCTCGCTCTTCACCCTATTTTTTTCCCCCTCTCTCTCTCTTTCAGGAGTATCTCAACTTCTCCTGGCTTTCTCCTCAGGCTAGGTTAAAGGACACGAACACCGCAGCTCCTCTCATCTCCAGACAGAGGGAGGGCGACGAAGAGGAGGGGGGGGGGGAAGAAAACGAAACAGTTGCTCTCTTTTTCATCTTCAATCTCCTCCCCTCCTCCCTCCAATCCTCCAATAAAATACAGAAGGATTTGACTTGAGGAAACATGAAAGAGGCTTATACCAGAGTCTGCTTTGAACCTCTCCAAAGAAAGTGTGTAAAAAAAAAAAAACTGTTTTCCCTTCAATTTGGGGATCTTCTCGCCAGTTCTGATTTATGCAGAAAGGCCTCATTTGTCAAGCAGGCTGAGTCAGAGCCCGATTTGCATAAAGTGTTCGTTTTCTGCATTCTGCTAATTAGCAATTTGCAGCTTAATTGGCGCGCATCTCTCAGTTAGCAGACAAAGCTGTATAAAAATATCTCCAGATGTACTTTGTTTCACTTCTCCTTCCCGCGTCCAGGAGAGGTTCTTCATCGCCAGGGTCTTTGCCCCGCTCTCCTCGATTAGGCTTCAGCATCGTCCTCGTTCTCGTGCACAGCGTTCATCAATTAAAAATGGCTAAGATAAATATTTCAATGTGCCTAGAAGTGGTTGTATTGTAGCGATAAAACCACCAAAGTAATTCTCAACTCTTCCGTCTCACTGTAGGTTGAGTTTCACATATGAGCAGTTTGTTGCATTTGCATGACATTTTTAATATTTTTGTTTTTGCAACCTCTCTGAATCCTCCTCTCGGCCAGATGGGGGCGATTTTTCTTGATGTCAAAGAATAAAATTAGCAACAAAAAAAACAAACATTTTTGATCATGTGGCATTTAATACTTTATTAAAAATGACAGAATTTTGAACGTTTTAATACTTTTGATGCTGAAATAATAACGAGCCACAGTCTTTCCATGCACAACCATCCCACCCTGGAGAATTTCAGATAAAATAAAAACAATAGAAAATGGAGAATTAATCAAATTTTTAGAATCAAGAAATTATTTAAAAAGAACCCGACATGAAGTAGGTTAAAGATCTTAAAAAGCAGCGCATCATGCCCAAGGCTAAGGAAATAAATAGACCGTGTTTTAGTTCAGGTGATTTCTAAGATTTTGTGACGCCATTGATCCCCACAGATGGTTATTATTCATAAATGGAGAAAACATGCCAGAGTGGTGAATCTTCCCTGGAACGGCTCTTCCACTGAAATTACTCCAAGAGCTCAGACTTTGAGTCAATATTAAATGACATAGTAGGTAAAGTTTCAAGCTGAAATCACTGAGGAAAAATGATGCCCAAGACTTATAGGAAATTGTTCTGTGGGCTGACGAGACAAAACTGAGACATCGTGTACCAATAGATGTGGTTTGAAACTAAAACAGCTTTTCAGAAAAACTGTGTTACTCACACTGAAACATCGGGTCGGGTTGCTCTGATTGTTCAGGTGCTGAATGATTTGCCTGGTTGAAACCCTGAATTCGGTTCATGAGGACAGTGATGAAAACCTGCAGGTCCGCCTCTGAATGACTGAGATAACGAATGTTTGTGGAGGCCTAGTTAAAGTCCGGTTGAAACGCTGTGGCACGACCAGGACAGGACGTTAAGACTCAAAATGAGCTTATTATTTACTCTGCCTGATATGAAATCTCTAAAGGGTGTACATACGTTTTTACAATGAGATTTGCTATCCACAGTGACCCTTAACCTTTCATATTATGGATGTTCTGTGGTTTTTGTTTGTTTTAAGGTAGTTTCTGTGTCAAATTTTATAATATTAAGACAGATGCTTTATTTGGGTCAAACATTTTTTCATTCAGTTCTGAATGTGTCATAATGTTTGTTCATGAACAACACTGCTTGCATTGTTTTTGTAGACCGAATTAGGCTGAAGGGAAACAAACCGTTTATGAAAACGAAACATGAAGCTTGTCTGTATTGTTTCTAAGAGAGTTCACTCTCTTAGAAATGAACTGCTCAGTTTACAGCGCCGTAAAGTTGCTCCCAAGTGGACATTAATCTTTCATTTTTTTTCCCAGGTGGAACTCAAATGTTTCATTCAACATTTCACTGTATCGTCCATCCACTGATTCGGGGTTTCTCTCTCCTTGCAGGATGTGAAGAGCCCGCCTTTTTCACTTGCTTTCAGTGTGACGGTGTGTTTTGCTCGGCCTGGGCGCTCCTCCAACACGCCCAGCACACGCACTCCTTCAGCATCTACCAGGAGGACGAGGACGATGACGCCTACACGGGAGGAAGAGAGGGTCTGAAAGAGAACAAGCCCGCAGCAGCCGTTCTGGACCCACGCCACCTGAGCCAGGCTCTGGCCTCCGCCTTCCAGCCTGCCCCCCAGCGGCGCTCGCGTCAGAACCAAGCCGCCTCGACGGGCCTCCAGGCCATGAACTTCTCCGTGCGACTCCGGGAACTCGCTGAGGTGAACAACACAGGCCTCAGCTCCCCCATGGCGCCTGTGTTGTCTCCGTCCTCGTCTCCGCCGGCAGCGTCGACGTTCCCTCAGTCTGGCGCCCTCCAGGCTGATTTTCACTGCGAGCTGTGCGACCAGAACTTCCACTCGCTGCGCGCGCTGTCTGCCCACCGCCGGACTCACGCCTGCGAGAGGCCCTATCACTGTGGGGTGTGTGGGCAGGCCTTCGCTCAGAGCGGGCAGCTCGCTCGCCACATCAGGAGCCACCACCGGGAGGCTGCAGGCGGAGGAAGTGGGTGCGAGTCGGTAGAGGGGGTTCTGATGGAGGAGGATATTGGGAGGCAGGGGGCCCGGGGAAGGCTTCAGGGGCCAGGGATGATGGGAAAAGAGCTGGATGTGACCCTCCCGAAGCACCCGACCGTAGCGTCAGGCCTGATGCTGTTGAACTCTCATCTCAGACCACCGGACAGGGAGCTACTGAGGCTATACCCGAACCACAGAGCCGGAAGTGAGGAGGCGGCCGAGGGGCAGGGCGAGCCGCAGCCTGCGTCGCCCTGCGCCAGCCCCTCCGAAGGCTCCCTAGAGAGCGGAGAGACGGGAGGAAGCGGGGAGAGCGGCATTGCCAGTGGCAACTGCACGCCCAAACGCCCGGAAATGGGCGAGAGAGCGCGGGGGGTTGGAGAGTGGGAGAACGAACAAGGCGAACTCGTCGAGAGGGAGAAGGAGTGGGCTTCCGGCATGCAAGAGTGGCAGAGAGACTTTGAGCGGCGAAGCGCTGCAGGAGGCGCCATCGCCGGGGCGAATGCCAGCTCCACTCCAGGTTCCACTGGGAAGAAGAAGAAGGATGAGGCCTGCGAGTTCTGCGGTAAGCAGTTCAGAAATAGCAGCAACCTGACTGTGCACCGCCGAAGCCACACGGGTGAGCGGCCGTACCGCTGCGGCCTCTGCAACTATGCCTGCGCCCAGAGCTCCAAGCTGACTCGCCACATGAAGACCCACGGTGCCCAGGGAGCCAAGGCCTCCTTCCTATGCCAGCTGTGCGCCGTGCCCTTCACCGTGTACGCCACCCTGGAGAAACACCTGAAGAAAGTCCACGGCTTGAGCCACGCCAATGTCGGGGCGTACGCGCAGGCCAGCGCCGCAGATACCTTGGCCGCTTTGAGAGCTGGAGAGGAAGCGGTCGGCGGGGCGGTGAAGATGGAGGAGGACGAGGCGGGTCTGGAGAGCAAGGCTCAGGGATACGCAGACAGAGACATGGAGGTGGAAGAAGGTAGAGGGAGTCCCGCAGCTGTGGAGGATCTCCCACATGAAAGCATTGCTGAGGCAGGCCTAGCTTTGGCTTCTGCTCACTGAATCAGGTTAAAGTCGCAAAGACGCCGCACGACTGTCAGCAGCAGGTCACGACAGCTTCCGAGGCCCGCTGCAGCCAGCACTTGTTCATAATCGACTGCGAAGCTGCTGGCTGAAACTAAGTGCCTACAGTTCTTCAGACCACAGAGAAAAACAAGTCCGTGACATTCAGCAGGGAGATTACCATACCTCGTGAACAGGAAGTGCACTGCCGCAGTCCACACCAACACAGGAAACTGATCACCATGCTGCAGCGCAAAATGCAAGAGAACTAGAGCGTTTCACGTCTGTAGCGACCCACTGGACAGATGGAGACGCACCAACCCAATCAGAAGAGATTATACTGTGCAAAGAATTTAAAAAAGCAATATAATGCTATTGAGCACTGATGAGTGTAGAGGTCAGACCGCGCTGTTCTCTGTGGAGAAGACCTTTTAAAGACTTTGGAGCCGCCGCAGGGCTAAAACGAATCCAAACACTGACTGCCTGTAGCCTGTCACACACTTTTTAAAGGCGCTTGCTTGTCACAACACTTGTCACTTCATGTTTACAAGTCCCATGGGGCCGAGCGAGGCTGTGCTCCTGACTTTGTGAATAGATGCTGCAGTGGATGTAAAAAAAAAAAGAGAAAAAAAAGTTTACACACCCTTGTCGAAACGCCACGTTTCTGTGACCTAGAAACGATAAGACCGTGACGAATCATGTCAAACACAAACGATTCAGCTGAGAACTGCAAAAACTAAAAAAGGCCCAATAGCCTGTTTGCAAAAGTTTGTGCACCCCTAGTTAAAAGTTTGAAGCACTTTTTGATTCAGTTTCAACATTCAGTCTGAATTATTTGACATCTCATTTCCACAGCTCTGAACGCCCCTCAGATTACTTTAACTCTGAACTTTGACTAGGCCGTTTCTCGAGGTTTCTGTTCTTCTGGTGGAATCGTTTGACTCGTGAATGATAAAACCCATCTCCACCTCCATAGAAGAAGAGTAACCCCAGAGACATGATGGTGCCACCATCATGTCTCTCCATGGTGACGCTGTTGTTTTGGTGTCAAATCTACATTTTGGAATCGGGACCCAAATGTTTCATTGTGGTCCCATCACACTTTCTCACACACAGATTTGGGTCAGAACTGGATGTTTGGAGAAAAAAACAGGTCTTTCGTTCCAGACACGAGGTGAAAACAGGAGGTTATTGTCCCAGTCAGGTCAGAGGTTTCTGGTGTTGCTGGCAGCATCTGGACCAGATTCAGTGAAGGCCTCCTTCTCTATCAGACTTATTTACAGTCAAAATAATTACCCTAACCATCTTTTATTGATTTATTTTTACCAATTGTCGCGACTAGTTTTGGATGGATTCCAGCTTGTTTTTGTGCCCTTCTCCTGACTGATGCATTCGTAGAATCAGATCTTTCGTAACATTTCTGCAAACTGCGACTTCAGCTGAAGGTGTCATGAAACTCCTGCTTGACCAGCTGAGCTTCATTTACAGCTGATCTCTATAATTAGTGTCAGGTGTGACTGAATAAAAAGGTGCTTCATGCTAATGCATACAGTTTATCTCAGTTGTATATTTGCTGGCAAGAAAATAATCATTCTTAGAATCTTAAACTTGGTACTTCACCAGGATGTGTGGACTTTTTTTTTTTTATTTCCACTGCACATGGAACCTTTTTTTTTTGTCTTTGCTTTTCTAATTTTTATAAATGTGAATACAGAGACTTTAAAGTCTCACCTGCTGATGTTTTGTAAGATTAGTTTCTATGCATAAAAAAAAAAAGCCAGCGATTTTTACATACATATGAAACGGGTGTGTATCATTTCCCCCTCTGTACTGTTGTGATGGTAATTTCTCTCTTCTATCGTTTACGTTGGTGAGAGTGCCGGGCGGCCGCCTGAAGCCCGTGCATGTTTCGTGGCCGTTTGCGTGATTTCTGTTGTCCGACTTCGAATTCTTCCTAATTTATGGCTGCTGCATGCTGGCGGGTCGTTTGTTTCGCTGCCGGGGAACGTGAGCCCGCCGAGTGAGCACTTAGCGGGGTGAGGGTTTGGAAATTACCATCAACCTTCATAATCAACATGTTGAGCTTGTGTTTATTATTTGTGACCACTTTTAAATCCATGTTGATATAAAAATCATAAAAAAATCTGCTTTTTTTGACATTAAAACCTCAATGAATTTGTCTACTTTTTTTCGTCAATCTCTTGACCTCTGAGTACGTTCAGGTCATTAAAAATGTTTGTGCATTTTGTTTGAATGATCGCAGTGTAACTGTTCAGGGATGATGATGTATATATTTTCTTGCTGTTCTTGTTGTGGATTCCTGCTCCTGTTACATGTTACTCACTTTCTTCCAGCATGGCTGACTCCTTTCTTTTTATGCCCAAAAGTGACTGTCTGTGCAAAATTAAGGATGTAATTTTGTTATTACCTTCATGACTAAACCTCAATAAAGAATTGAGGTTAAATGTATTCTCTTGTTGGGTGTCTCATTTATTTATTTTTCCACACTTTTTGTAGTCATTTGTTGAACCGCTGCTGCTTAAGCTTTGCACAGTTTGTCACATCCGCAGACTTTAGTATTTTAAGTGAATAATTGTAATAACTAGAAGTAAAACAAGTACCAAGAATTAAAAATGTCACAAGTGTGACGCGTTAGTAATCAGCCATATGTTCTTTTGACAGCATCTGAACCATCAATTTACTCTCTCAGTTGAGTTTGGGTGAAGGCTTTGACTAGGACGTTCAAGCACATGAAGATATTGCGATCTAAACCTTTTCTTTTATGTTCTGATCCTCCGTCCCAGTCTCAAATCTTTAGCAGGATTTCTTCAAACATTGTCTCCTTCCATCTTTTTATACTCTTAACAAGCTTCTGTGTCCTCGATGAAGGAAAGCATCTCCACAGCCTGACACTGCCACTACCATGTTTCACTCATCATACTAATGGGCAGACGTGACCATCCTCAACGTATGTTTTGCATACAAACCCAGACACTGCATTTAACTTTAAAGTTCTCCACATCTTTTTCTCTTTCTGCTGGGTCTTCATGAAATTGTTTAACGCTCCCTAACAAATCTCAAGAGGCCTTCACAGATTAATACAGGGATTAAGTGACATACAGGTCAGGTGGACTTTACTAATGAAATGACTGCACTGGATTTTATTTTGAGGTATCATAGTAACAGGGGCTAAATATCAATTCAGATAAGCGCTTTCAAAATTTTATTTGAAAAAAAAAATGCTTAAAACCTTGTTTTATTTTCCTTCCAGCTCACGTTTTTTTTTCTGTCCCATTAAAAACACAAAAGTTTGTTTCTGGAAAGTGACTAAAATGTTGATGACGACTTCTGGAAGTCTGCCGGATCGGTTTCCTCGTCGGGATGCCGTGTGAGGAGGGGGTCTTCCTCAGAGGACCGCGCTCAGCGCTGACTTTTTCATTTTTAATGCAGACGCTTGGATCAGGGACCCTCAGTCCTTGTTTACATCCTTCTGATGTTGCGGGGCTTCATCTCCGAACATCGTACCGCAGCTCGGCTGCGGGGGGAACAGGCTGGCACCGTGTCCCGGACCACCGCTGCTGCTCCTGGTGCATTTTGTAGTTCAAGCTGCGATGGGACAGGAGTGACGGGGATTTCTCAGGATGCGTGACTGTAGCGGGGTGGGGAGGGGAGGGGGTGTATCAAGGGGTTGGGATAATTGCTGACTCCATTCTAAGGGGCACAAAAAAAAAAAAAAAAAAACACTCCACAACAGCCTTCCTAAATAAAAATGAAGTTGTGTGATCCCACTATAGCTCATTAACAGCAGGTCCGCTAATGAGCTTTCAACAGGGTGGGAGTGGAGGGGAGAAAGGGAGGGGGCATGTAGGGGTAAGAGTAAGGGGTGGTGGTGGGGTTATTGCGCCAGATGCACACACGCCCACTCCCACCAATTACCACTGTATGATTGAGAAGAAGGAGGAAGTGGGGACAGCAGACCCCCTCATGCCCCTCATGCTTCTGTCCGCAGAGACGCAAAAAGAGAAAGAAAAAACAACAACAACAGAGCGACGCGGCGGACCGGTAACATCTCCAATCAGCGCAGCGCGCTGGGCGCCACGGTTAGCGCCATAATGGACCCAATTATGTAAGGTAAGGTGATATACGGGGCAGAACGCGGCACGCCGGGGCCTGCAGCAAGCTGATATCTTCTTCCCTGCCCTTTGTCTCCTTCCTGCCGTCCACACCTACCCGAGCCGCTCCTCGGACCCGCACAGGTCAGGGTGTGTGGGCGTCGGACGCGGCCAATGGCGGCCGCGAGTTCAGGACCGGTCAGCCAATGGGAGCGCGCGGAGTTGTTTCTGACCGGCGGCTGCGCTTACAGGTGGCGGCGGGGTGGACTTTGACATCCTGTGCGTGTGAGGACTGACGCTGCGGGCCACGCGCTCAGGTGGAGGACGCAATCAGAATGAGCAGCTCACACATTAACAGGTCTACAATGGAGGCGTCACGAGGCTGACCTTTCAGAGCCAAGCTCTCACTGAGTGAGCTCAGCCGCTTTCACAGTGATCTGGAAGGTCGTGCTGAGTTAGAAAAGCGTCTCAGCATCTGGTTTTAATGGTATTCCCTCATCAAGAACCTTTCGATTCTTTCAAATCCTTGGCAACTGTTCGGCTGAGCAAAACGCCCGGGTGGACCTAGCCCCGCCTTCCAGGACGCAACACCTCCTCAGAGCTGCAGCTTCCAAGTTTCTGAGCACTCAGGTCACCTGATCACCCTGATCACCCTGATCTCCAGCTGCTGCCAGGTGAGGACAGAGTTTCCTGCATGGCGTCAGATTGTTGTGAAACCCTCAGCGGTAACACCTTCAGGCCTGCTGCAGCTACTTGAGAGATTTGCCCGGTTACTGACCCGTCTGTCTCTTCCCTTCTGTCCAGTTGCCCTTCCTGTCCCAGATCCATGACCTACTCCACTGGATTTGGACCTGCTGGCTCTGACCGCCTTTCTGTCTGACCCTGAGATCTGGAACCGCCTGACCCGGATTTGGAGTCCCTGGCTCTGGCCTCTCTGACTGAGGGAAAGCCGATCCCTAAATATACACCTGTCCTGTATTCACTGCTCAGTCCCTGCGTCCATCGTTGCCTGGATCGTGTCAGACTCTCTGACTCGGCTCCTTCAGACTAGCCAGCAGCAATTGGCAGACACCTGGTGGAACTACACATCTACGGGGCTCATTATAGGAGCTACTTCTCAGTTAAAAACATAGTGAAAGGGTCAATAGAGGAGCCATGCTGTAATGACTTCAGGGAGAGCAGGAGTTTTTAAAGAGACAGAGGCCCAATTTTAATAACAAGGTAGCATTTCTTTTAAGTCCTATTTGATATATAAAGCATTTTTTACTGATTTAATAGTTACTTGATTACGCTATAAAAATGACACTATGTGCCTGAGAAATACATAATACTGGCCCTTTAAATGATCTGGTGGGAGATTCTCCTTTTGTGTTTGGTCCCAGGCTTCACAGTTGAGTTCAGGCTTGGTCAAGGTCCCAACGGTTAAACACTCCAGTTAGTAAATAAGATGGCTGACTCCATTAGTCAGCCATCTTATTTCTGATGGAAACTATTCTCTTTGTACCTGTTTGCATTTGATACGTCACGTTATCAAATCCTTTATACTGCATCTCTGAACCTTAAACAGGACTATAAAGGGAAAGGATTCAAACACCTTATTCGATATAAACTTGACTGAAACAAGTGCAACCAGAGTCAAAAAATAAGAAAATGTATTTCAAAATAGAGAGGAGAGTCATTCTTATTTTATCTTACCAAATGTTAGCCTGGGAAAAACCAGACTCCTGTTTTACACTTCGCACTGAGGTGCTGGACTCTCGGCTATTGAGAAATGATTAATTCCTTGAGGCATGGACTCGTTTTCTTCTTGCGTTTTTGTCAGTTAGCAAGAAAACTGGAGATGTGCATTCAAGGTCTGAACTCTGTTGAAGTCGTAAATTGACTATGACTAGTTGCAAGGCAGCACAGAAAACCCACATCATCGTTCACAATTTCTCCCTCTGGTCGCTGATTGGTCCGGTTGAAATTCTACTGGAGAGAATTTGAGTTAATGGGAGAAAAATCAAGAGGAAAAACTGAAGCGAGACGAGAATCAAGTGGAAAGCAATGGCAAGGCTAATTCTGGCGGATTATGGATTCGCGTCAGGTGGATTTTCTTCTTCAGAAATGCTTCCACTAACCATGCAGTATGAGCAAGTGAGTGGCTCAGAAAATACAAAACGTTTTCTATTGGAGGCTTTTCCAGAGGAAAAACCTCCAATGACATCAGCATTAGAAACACGGAGCGCCCACATCAAGTTCAGACTTAAAACTGATTGTTCCCTGAGCCATCTTCTTCTGCCTCTATATGAATAGTTATGAGGAACTCAAAGCTCTTCTAAGACCCAACCAGAAATTCAGATTAAGTATAAGATGATTAGCTCTGAAAATTCAACAACAAAGAGCCTGCATGAGCTGTGTGTTTGCTTTGCTATGGGCCAGGCCTGTGGCAATGAGAGGCTCTCACTTGTGTATGAAGCGATGGTGCTTTATCATGTAAAAAGCCAATTAACTGTGAGTTTTTAATTACATTTCTCATGGTATGCTGTGCGAAGCTTCCAGTCGTCTCTGCAGACCTTGCCCTGTTGTCGTCTTCTTCCTCCTCCTTCTCTTCCTCTTCGGAATAGGCGAGGAGGAGAAAGAGGCCTGGGATTAAAGGAGGGCGAAAAACAAGAGTGGGGGGGTGGGGAGGGTTGGATGCACTTGTGTTGCGGTCAGACAAACCGCAGGACTCGGCTCTTTATCCTCACACATTTCCCCACAGTTCCCACTTTCTCCCAGCCGTTCCTCCTCCCACGGTGACCGCAGTGTGAAACCTGAACCGAGGAATTACGCTCGCTTTGTCTCGGCTCCATCCGCAGAACCTCAGCCTCGCCGCCGGTGGGGAGGGAGGAACACATCAGTCCTGCTCTCGCTTTAGCAGAGAGAGACAAGGACGAGCTCTGAGGTCACCGCAGTTTGTTCAGCGGCGGAGCTGCTCATTGCCACGAGGTCACCGAAACCAGGAAGGTAGAGCACGGCCGCACCAGTCCCGGCTCAGAGAGTAGACTTTAACATACCATTGGCTTAACAATGAAATACATCAGAGATCTGTTGGTGTTGCGTAAACATCTGTTAACCAGGCACGGAGACGCAGCGTTCAGCTTCTGTGCTCCAAAAGCTGGAACAAACGTCCAGAAAACTTGCAAAGACGCAGCCACACAGAGTTCCTTCAAATCAAGGCTAAAAACTCAGCCGTTCAGAGTTTGACTTTTTTTTTTTATTGAACTGAAGCTTCACTATTATGTACAACTGTAACACATACAATAGCTGCTGCAGTTCATCTCTGCTCGGTGCACGTTTCCACTGCCATGTACCATCAAATATCATCACACAAAA